AGTATTTTTACTCCTAAAATAAGCTGTCTAGATATTATGCACTTGAAATAAGATAATGCAATTGTTTTTTTCTTGTTTAAAGTGGAAACTGTCTTGTTCCATTGGCAAAGTATCTCACTTCAATCCCAATTCAAGAAAAAAATTACTTATTTAGATTTTATTTTTTTGCAGTGCAGAGGCTATCCTGCAAAAACGTTCTAAAAGTTTCTTTAAACAAGTGTATTTACCTTAAATTTTAGTAGGAAAATAAGATGATCTGCCAATAGAATTAATATTTTTACGCTTAAAATAAGATAAATGAGATATTATACACTTGAAATAAGAGACTGCAGTCTTTTTTAAATGTAAATTTTCCTATTCCATTGGCAAATTGTCTCACTTACCTGCTCGATTCAAGAAGAAATTCACTTGTTTTATGAAAAATTTACCTTAATTAGATTTACAATTTTTGCAGTGTAGCTCGCTGCTCCAGTCTAACCAGTAACAACAAAGACCACCACTCCCCACCACGTCTTCGGCTCCCACACATCGGATTAAAACATTAACTCAGAGGAACAGAAAATGGGTCCAACAGAACTTCTCCGGTTCTGATTCAAACCCGGTGTTCTGTCAGATGAGCATACCCCGTCAGACCAGCATACCCAAAGTCAATGCGCAAGACGTCAGATTTGCATTTATCCATTTATTTTTGTATGAAAAATAGACTTAAAACTACCTCAACGATGTGTATCCCTTTAGTCATCTTTCTTTTCTTTTACATGACTAAAGTGATACACACCTGTTTAGGCAGTTTTAAGTTTATTTTTCTTACGAAACTAAAGGGATACATGGGTGTTGAATATGGGTATGCTGGTCTGACAGAACACCGGCTTCAGAGCAAAGCAGGGCGCTGGGCTGGGCATTTAGCCAACCCCCAGAGTGTGAAAAAATGCGAGATCAGATTAGGACCATGGATCATGTGATGCGCCACGCTAACCGGCTGATTAAACTCTGGATGGAAGAGACTGGGTGGGGGGGTCCAGGTACTTACGGCTCTCTGACTGGAAATCTGGGACGAACTGTTCATCATCAGGAACCTGGGCTGTAGAGACAAGAGAAAAGGGTTGATGAACCAAAGGTGGAGCTGGAGACAGAGACTTTGTCCTCTGGAGGACTTTGCTCTTCTCGCTCTGCCGGTCGACTCAGAAAAACTAAAACTTTGGACATTCTCCAGAGTTAAACTTTAATGCTAAAAAACGTCGGATGTGTTCGGCTTTATGCCGTCCTGGAGCTCCTACCTTCTGCGATCCAGATCTCCTGCAGCTGGCTCAGATCTTGAAAGAGTTCTGGAAGAGAAGTGGAGAGGCGTGAGCTGCCGGCCGCCCGGAGGGAAACACAGTAACTGGCGGACGGTCTTACCTTCTGTGTCCTGGGCCAGCTCAGTGTCCACGAACTTCCTCTTCCTGTCGTTCAGAAGCCGACCGCTGGGCGCTTCGTCTGCGGCAGAGTTCTGCTGTTTGGAAGGAGGAGATGGGGAAAAAAAATCATGAAGACGCCTCCTTCATCAGCCGCTGTGAGGACCGGAGCGTCTGACAGTAAAGTGTGTCCACTTACACTGGGTGGGACCATAAAAGGGACCTGCTGGTCGTAGAATCTGTCCATGCTATCTGTGTGACAGAGGGAGGCGGGTGGATTATCTGGGAAAACAGTGGAATAAAACAGGTGAAACGTCTATAGAGGGTTTCCCATCAAGCACCTTGGTGTGCCGCCTCATTACCCAGCAACCTGTACGCTGAGCTGCATCTTATTCTGATGCTACAACCCCCCTCCCCCCTGTTAGCTCAGTATTTAATCAACAAACAGAGTTAGCATGCAGGAACACATACAGCAGTTATATAAGCGGCACTCTCTGCGGCGCCTTTCCTCATCAGCTTAGGAGATCTTTAGTAAACACTTGGAAGGATGTTTCCAGCGCAGCTGAAACCATGCTGCGTTCAGCATCACAAATCCCCCCAAACAAGACAGAAAAAAAGCTCACAGAGCTGGTTAACCTCTCTGAGAGGCGACAGCAGTCAGGAGCAGAGGGCTACGCTCTCTTAAACACTCCCAGCTTCTCTTTACCAGGCGACCCGAGGCGGTGGAGCTGCCCTCTTCTCACAGCAGAGCCGTATGACTCACTGCTCCTTCTCCTGTTAATGGATGACCAATAAAGGATAGCTGCTGGGCAATAATTACAGACGCCGAGCGGAGCTACGACTCAGGATCGTTCCTTTAAAAAAATAAAAGACGGCGGAACATATCTGAATAACTTTGACTTTTTACATCCTGTGAAAACGAAACGAGTCAATTAGCTAAGTTTAAAATCTGAAGCAGTGTTTAAACACACTGCAAAAAAGTAAAATCTAAATAAGTGTGTTTTGAGGAGGCAAGGGAGACACTTTGCCAAAGGAACAAGACAATTTACATTTAAAACAAGAAAAAAAAATCAAATGTCTGATTTAAAAATACTCATTCCATTGGCAAATAATCTTATTTACCTATTTAAATCAAGGGTAAATTTAAGACATGTCTTTTACTTTTAGATCGTTTTTGCAGTGCAGGACTAAAACTAAAATGTCTGGTCCTAAAGGTTTAGGTTTTAACGTTAAATCAGAGTTAATTGGTGACTGATAGAATCTTCTAAATACAAGTTTCTGATCTGTGAAATATGAATTTATGAAAAAAACAAAGACATTTAAAGGTTCTGTGTCTTCCTACTTTGAAGACGATAAATTTGGACTTCAGAAAAAACTGGAAAAGTTTGTTATGGTTACTATAATCCTCTCTCTGCAGCGAGGCTTTGAATAAATAATGTCTTCCAGATGAAAACAAGCTTTATCCGACAGAGATCTACTTTGACAAACCCAAGAGTTGTGGTTAGAGCTGATCCAGGTCTGGTTTAGTTTAGCCATTTGATTCAATGCAGAACATTTCATCCATAGCACCGAGCCAGATCGGTTCCTCCTGCTTATTTACAGCCAGCAACACTCATGCATAAAACGACCAAAGAAGCAAAGACGAGGGCAAAGATCACATCCATTTACATGGCTACATGTTTGATTTGTTTTTTAGTGTTTGAGGTGGTCTAAACACTAAAAACAATAAAACTTTTAGCTTTTTTTTTTTTTTTTTTTCATTTTAGAAAGAGAGTTGAGATTTCACAGACCTGTGCTTTAATTCAATCATTAGTTGTAAAAATCTGGCCCTGGTTTGAAAAATCCAGGTTTGTCTAACAGCTCCTGATCTGTGAGGATGGCGGAGCTCCTTGCCATCACCCTAATCACACAATGTACGCCAGATTCAGGTCAGAAGTGGATCACTGCTGTTAAACATTTATAAGGCAAGTTAACGTTTTTTTTTTATCACTTTCACACCCCTTACAAATGGAGAATCCAGCCATTCAGCAAAGATAAATGGCTGTTCATCTTATTCTGCCATTTGACCAATTAGATGAGCCCCTGAAAGATATATTACCTACTGGAAATTAAGTTGAAAAGAATTAAGAATGAAAGGTAAAATGCTAATTGAATAGTTAAAAAGTTAATAAGCCAAGTTAATAATTATATATAGGTTGATAAACTAAAAAAATGTACCGGTAAGTGCCAGTATCAGCATTAATGCTTCAAAGGTTATGCTGGACCAAAGAAAATGTGTTTTTCATGAATCACTTTTGTTATTTTCTTAATATATTCAGGCAAGTTGGCTTTTCTTGTCATATATTGACATTAAAAATGTTTTAATTTTTAACAGATCAGTCCAGATTTAAACTGATCTTAAAAAAAATTGGATGGTCTAAAAAAATAAAAGAAAAAAACTTAATATCAAAGTATAATAAGTATTTAAATGCATTTTAAATGTAGAAACAGAGAAAGTTTCCTTTTTATTCCAGTCGGACATTAAAGCTGAAAACATTGGAAGTGATTTAAGGGAGACAGACTTGGAGCCGCGCAGCAAGGCACGAAACAAACCGCAAAAAAAGTCTTTTTCTCGGTTAAACTTCTGGGTTAGAGCCGATAGAGATGGGGGGTCCGGAGTCCACCCCCCCACACGCACACACACACACACACACACCACAGCACCTACTGCTCCCCGCCCTGCCCCCCACCCACCCCTGTTGTTTTCTTCAATGAAGTGAAACTTGATCCGTGAGAGAGGGGGGGTGGGGGGTGCTGGCCCTTCCATTCATAAAAAAAGAAAGCCAAAAAAAACAACAAATCACAATGACCCTAAACATGAGTGAATTATAACCACCATGGAGTTCAGAAACACCTTTCCCGCATTAAGACCAACAGAAACCAAAATAAAAGCATCTAAATCATCGCCATTTTTTTTCTAATTACGTAGCTTAAAAAAATAGATTCGCTGTCAAATTCCTGCCAAATTAAACATCGTAGCTTACCTTTTTCTTTCTATAAAGGTCCCTTATGTTAGAAAAAACGGAAAGAATATCCACAAATAAAAGTGCAACGTGTCGGAAGCCGTTTAGCCGTCCGTCCGTCCGTCCGCTAGCTGGAATGAACCGTCTCCTCCGGCTGACTCTCCTCTGACTGAGCTTCTCCTCAATGGCCCGCTGATTTTCCCCTCAGCTCCAGCGGCACGCAGCGGAACGCGCTGATTGGCTGATAGAATCTGTCCGTCAAAGAAGGATCCAATCATCTCTCAGGTGGTCTTGAATTATTCATGATAAGGAGTCTGACCAATCACGAGACGGCTGTGTCCTATTTTTATGAATGGCAGGATTTTTTTTTTTTCAATCGCCGCTGCCAGGCGTGTTTCTTAAAGGGCCAGCAGCAGTGGAAACCTACTAGATATAATCACCCTGGCTTTCTGTCCGAACAGGACTCGTAAATAATTATTTAAATATGCATAATAGTTCGATCTTTCTAAACAATCTATATTTAATAAATAACTTTAACTTAAATGGGAAATAAATGCCTGTTTTTCAATGTTTATGGAGTTAGTAAGATATGTTCATGAAACATATCTACATGTCATTGGTGATTTGATTCAAATGGATTCTATTTTTCAGTCACAGGTACTCTTTAAGTTGCAGTGATCAAACGGAGACCTAGAATAGTGCTTAAGGCCTTGATTTGATGCAGGAAACTAGGGTTTCAAGTACAAATATACATTTTAAAGTTAAATTTATTTGCCTTTAGATTGAAAACTGAAAGACTCAGACTACGGTTAATGAGCATAATGTCTGCAGTGGAGATAAAGACATAAGCTCCTTAGGTTTTCAGTATCATGAGGTGATTCTCAGGCATAAATGTGTGTTTGGGGGTGGGGTGGGGGGTATTTATCATTAGGCAATACTAGGAAGTTGCCTCGACCCCAAGTTCCAGGGGGCCACATACAACTCTGTTTACATGTGTGGCTAATACAACTATTCCTTATTTGTGCACATTAATTATGTTTTTGATAAAAATCCTTTGGCTAAAATGCCA